GAAAAGGTGAGCACTAGATCAGCAAATATTGCAATTGGTAACTTACCATCATCGTCTAGATCAAGTTTCTCCAGCATGCCTTCGAATAAACTGTAGACCTAGGAGAGAGCAAAGGCACAAGTTCGCCGTGAAGAGCGCAGCAAGTCCCCACAGCACACACACAAAAACTTTGCTGTAAATTGTGAGAGCGCAGCAGCGACGCCGACTTTTTCCCCAGCGGCCCCAGGAGACTGTGATCGCGCCGAACGCGGTGCGCAAAACAACCAAAACTACTAAACCGCAACGTGCGACCCTGTCGCTGTACCGATTACGTAAACCTATAACAGGTCCGCTAAATATACGCAGGTAACGCGATAAGAACCCTCGCGCAGAGGAGGTACAACTTTAGCGGCACAATATTAGACTTCTCACACACGCACACACCCCCTTAAAAACTCGCAGTGGAACAGTCCTGATCCATTTGCTGCAGCGGAGGAAACCAACGCTGCTCATACAGCCACTGCACAGACGCGTGAGCAGTAATCCAGCTGCAACGAATCGGCTCAATTCATTGTTAAAGCCTCAATCTGCTAAACTCACCACAATAACAGTCGCTGGCACGAAGAGTGTGGGGGGGAGTCGGCGGGGGTACAGATAGAAAGCAGGAAGCACCGTGCGCTCAGGACACACCCCTCCGTGCAGCGCAACCTGGGTGCTTCGCCATATAAGGAAATCCCTTGTGTTGCTTAGCAGCAAGAAGCTGGGGATTCCTTTGTCACATCCACAGAGATAATTTCTTCAGACATAACGAGACACATGGCTGAACTAAAGCAACTCTTTGGGGTCCTTGTAGTAGGAGCCCGAGAATATGGCATGCAGATTGTGCTGACTCCCTCTCCCTGACAGCACAGTGCAGTAGCCAGCCGAAAATATGCTGTGTCATGCTGAGATATTTGCATACTCAAAGTGCGCTTGTTGATACCCGATTTCCCCTGGCTCCTAATTTGCAAGCACATATTCACAAGAAGCCACTGCAGCACAACGGGAGAGCATCCGCATGCCTACTCGTGGATGTTCAACAGCCCCCACCCCTTCCCCCCTGGTGTTGCCCTGCAACCGTGACACAGCGCTTCTCTTGTCCAAAAAAAAAAAAAAAAAAAAAAGAACTACCCCTGCTCTTTCATAAATCTCTGGTTGCGGCATCGCAGTAGGCACCGCTTTTGGGATAAAGGAGAACTACGGGGAAGCAGACAAGCGCGGATCTATGAATTTAATCACTTCTGGCCAAAATGTAAACTGCAACAACTTCAGTTTATTTTCCAAGTCTCCCTTAAGGTATGACAGAGGAAGTGCAGAGGAGCTGACCCGCACCGGCTCATCGCCCTCCAACCACAATCGTGTGTCCCTGGGTGTTAATATCAACCGTATACAACACTGGTGATGAAATATTGATTTACCATCGTTCCGCAGAATCCACAATCACTCAAAGTAGACGGGTCTTTGGATATTTATTCATTAAAGCAGCACAGTGAGCGATGGAGTAATTCCTCTCTAGCTCAAAGAAATCTGGTATAAAATCCAGACACAGGCTGTCAGAATCCAAATAAACCTTCAGTGAAAAGTCTTGTGACAAAGACTGAACTTGTTCTCAGCTGTTTTTCCGGTTACAGTCAATTATGCAGCGGCTTAGCTGACACTGGAAGCTGTTTGAGTTATGGCTTAAATGTCAAGACAATGTTTACACCCTCTCCTCTGCAGCTAGAGCAGCTCAGAGCTTATGGTACAAACAAAGTCCTGCTGACGCAAGAGCAAGGCTTGAGGAAAAGCGAACCTGAATTAAAAGGATTTGCATCTCTGCCTTCTGTACACCACTTTGCAGATAAACTCATGACTCTGAGTAAACAAAGCACATGACTCATAGATGGGAGACATGCAAGCCACTGTTATTCAGGCACAAAGGGAAAAAAATAGTTATCAGCTTCCCATGGAGTCTTTTTTTGTTGCCAACACTGAACCGGTGCAAAAATTAGTTTACCTGCAAGGAAGGAGGATATGGCTCAGTAGCCTTGTTGTTGACCTAAACACACATATTTCATGCAGTTAATTCCTGATCCCTGAGACAGTTCAGTCAATGCCTGTGAACTTGTAGCGCTCTCTCCAAAAACTTCCACCTTGCATAGTTATAGCATCATTGATCTGTATCTGGAGTTTTGAGATGCTGTACATGAAGTCTGGCTTATGTTTTGTTTATTTTGGTGCAGGAATGTGCAGCAAACCATCTGAAAGACTCACTCTAACTTCCACTCTTTTAAGAGTTAAAGCTCACAGGCATTGGCTGAATTGCCCTGGGTCAAAGATAAATTCTTAAAATAGATTTTTGATCTTTTTTGACTCACTTGTTGTGAGGTAGAATAAGGTGGCACGGGGCTCGATGAAGGGATTGGGGGTTTAGCAGAAGGAAGGCTGAGGCGCTGTCCTGTGTCCGGAGGTGTGGAAAGGGAACGAGAGCGAGAGCTTTGCTCCGGGCGTTCAGGGCTGGGGCCGCTCTGCTGGGCCTCCTGGGTGAACACTGGTTGGCTGGATGCCTGGGTTGGGGTGTGGGGTGGTGTAGAGAGTCCAGAGGCTGAAGAGAGATACAGAGTCCAAAATAGATATCTCAGCTTATCTCTTGTTTCTCTGGATGTCAATCCATACCGCACTTTCAGCAACACCGAGACGCAGCGCTGATTGACGTCTATGATAAGCATTGCTGCTGGAGAAGGAGGCGCTACAGTGGTGGCTGCTGCAGATGCCGTCAACGCTGTCATAGGCAATAAACGGAGGAGCAAAAGCGATCTGAACTAGGAGATTTCCATGAGCTGAGAAATAACACAGATACTGAGATAAAGCTTTAGTGGCCCTGTTTTTTTACACAGGGATACACAGCACTAGAAAATCAACATTTCAAAGACAGCTGTAAAATCGACTTCAGTCATGAAATTAGCAACATATTCAAGCTTTAATAGACAAGAGAGCATGTTGAAGATTAAAGAAAAATATGACACTGATTCAACTACAAATCTTCAAGTTTATGCCTGAAAAGCAGCAATGACATCAAATAAAGAGTAACTGAACTAGAAAAGCTTAAAAGAGTTTCTGCACCCGCTGGGTGGCATGGTGGAGCAGTAGTCTCCATGTTCTCCCTGTGCATACACGTCCTCCAAATAATCAAGCTTCTTCCCACAGGCCAAAGACTCTATATAGGCCATGGATGCGAGGAAGCTGAAGTGCTGAAAGTATGAATATATGGTTTAATATGACTGGTAGCCTAAAGCACTTTGAGTGGTCACTAAGACTAGAAAAGCACAATTTAAATACCAGTTGATCTAATGTGGGTCACAGTGGGGAAAAAAAAAGAAAACACTATTCATCATTGTAAATATTATAACCATAAAACATTTAAATTGTATGGTTAGCACTGTTGCCTCATAATAGGAAGGTCCTGGGTTCAAATCCATCATCTGTGTGGAGTTTGTACATTCTTTGTCTTCACCCACAGTCCAAAGACATGCACTTAGTGGGGTTTGTCCGTGTGTGTACAACCTGTCCAGGGTGTACCCCACCTCTGATTGCTGAGATAGGCTGCAGATCCCATCCCAAGTCCCTGAATTAGAAGAAAATGGATGGTACTAAGATAGAAATGCCTGAATTATCCATTTACAAACAAACAAAAGACCACGGTGGTGTTTGTGGGTTTCACTTCTTCCGTCGTGTTAGACGTCCTCTCGGGACTGTGTGGGATGTAATTACAGTCTAGCTGAAGTCTAATTAGCAAGAAGTGGAAACACCTGTGCGGGTGCATAAAGTCTTTTGTTTTTGTTAGTCCATCTGAAACTCAGCCTGGTTAGTGTCTTGGTATTTGGTGTTAACATTTCCCCGTCCTCACTTTAAGTCAGACACACTCCAGGTCTGCTGTGCTGAGAGGGAATCAGGCTTGAATCCTGAGTCCAAAAGCTGAGCTCCTGTTACTCATCTTTGGATTGGAAACTCATTAACGCTGAATTTGATGCATGTCGTTATAATTAAATGTGAATGTCTGAAACTAATCAGATTAAAACACAAGCAGAAGTAGAATAAAAATGGATTTGAAAGCTATTTAATGCTATTTTAATACGATTTTTGTTCACGTACACTGAAAATGTAATTTTCTTTACTCCTATGTTTACGCCACACTTTAAATATAAATGATACTGACTCATAAGTCATAGACTTTCATGAGGTATATTCAAGTTCATTCATTAAGTGGCTGTGTCTCTATAACCACCGAATCTAAACTGTAATTAAACCTGTGACATGTTCTTCAACATGACTGCAGGGACCTGACAGCTGCTGACTTCTGCATCTACTAATGGGAAAAAAAATCCTTTGAAGGCAACACCCAGCTCGACTTAGCTGAGCAGATCGACACTCACCAGCCACTTCATTAGGCACACTTGTTCAGCTGCTCGTTAATGCAAATATCTAATCAGTCAATCACACAGCAGCAACTCTGTCCATTTAGGCACGTGGACATGGCCAAACGGACCTGCTAAAGTTCAAACCAAGCATCAGAATGGGGAAGAAAAGTGATTTAAGTTACTTTTAACGTGGCGTGGTTGCTGCTGGTATGAGTATTTAAGAAAGTGCTGATCTACTGGGATTTTCCCACACATCCATCTCCAGAGTTTACAACGAATGGCCAGAAAAATGGAAAACAGCAGGTCTATGGTCATCCCTTTACAGCTATAGTGTACCCATCTTCTGAAGACTGCTTCTATCAGGATAACGCACCATGTCACAAAGCTCAGATCATCTTAAACTGTTTTCCTGAACATGACAATGAGTTCACTGTACTCAAACGGCCTCCACAGTCACCAGATCTCAATCTGATAAAGCACCTTCGGGATGCGGTGGAATGACAGGACCAACTCGGTGGCGCTATCACGTTAATATGAACCAAAATATTTTCTTGGATTAGTTTTGAAGACAAAAAAAAAAAAAAGAGGGCCAGCTTAGTATTTGCGTGATGTACCTAATAAAGTGTCAGGAGTGTAACTGGAGAAAAGAAGGTCTTTCCTTTGTTCTTTGTGTCCCTCGAGCATAACCACGCCGATTACAACATAAGCAGCCACATTAAACATAACTCCACTGTGAGAGTCAGCTGTCCGTGACGCAGCTCCTCCCGGTGAAGTGTCAGATTGTAGGTGTGTGTCACATGACAGCCACCACACACGCTTTTCACATCAGGCGCCCACGATCTTACGCAGGGTGACATGCGACACTCACGCTGCACTGGCCTCATCCCAGTGACATATTTCTGAGGCCAGACAATGAGTGACATGCATGATGTGGAGCAAACGGTTCAGATTACAAGGCCTACAGCACGGGACGTCCAGAACGGTTATTACTGACAGTCGGTTTCAAGCAAGCATCAGCATTAGTCAGTATTTATATTTAAATATTCCTAGGAAATAAAGCATGACCACTGTAAACTTAGTAAGCTGTATTCCCAAATGAGTCAGCTTTAAAGTCTGTGTATTGGCATCGGTGTGGATTTGTTACTTTACCTGTTAAAAAAAAAACAAAACAAAAAAAAAACAGTAATTACATGCCAAATAGTCAAAAACTAATACTGGTAATGATTAACTCAAGTTATAAGATATCTTTTCTTAAAGGAGGCTCAGTGTTTCAAGCAAACATTTTTGCTCGGCCTGTCCAAGCGCACTGCACACTATCTCTTGACATTTAGTTGGCGTGGCCTCTCTGGTGTGCCCTGCTTCCGCTGTGTAGCCTTCTTATTTTAGCCACGCTGTTGTGGCACATTCCACAGGAGCAGATAACAGCGGGGTTGGGAGCCTTCTCTTTAGCCCAGTTAATAAGGGGCAGCTAGCCCAAACCCAGGAAACAGGAAATGGATGCCTTGCTGCAAGCAGTCCATCTAACAGGTTTTTTTTTTTTTTTATTACATCTAAAAGTGAAAATCTATGTGTGCAGGGAGATAAAAGCAGCAGTAATTTATCATCTCTCTTTAACCTGATAATGAAAGTGCCAATTCCTTATCACAGTAACACCCTAATTTGTTGATTAGTGTATTTTCAAGCACAAATACCAAACAGGATTTCGTTCCAGCATCTGAATTATGCGAATATGCTCTTTGTTTGTTTTATATCATAATAAATTTAACAGTTTTGGGTTTGCAAGTCAGACGAAAAAGAGAAATGCAAAGCCATATTCTTGTGATTTATAAAATCCCGATGATATTTTTCACTATTTTCTGATTTTTAACCTCTTGTCAGCCTGTCAACTCAGTTATCAGACTAACTGATAGAGAGTTCAGTTCTTGAAGAACAGTTTTATTCCAAAAAAACAACATGGCTCTGCAGCCTTTAGACAAGTAAAAGTATAAGGTGTAGCTTGTAGAGATGGTAGGGATTTGCAGTCATGACACCAATCACCCACGAGGGTTTAAATAATTTTCTAGGAACAAGAAGAATTTGACAATTGGGGTCTTCGATAGGTTAGCAAAATCTCAAGTGTACTACTGACAGTAGAAACTCGTGTACACAGCATTACCGAGTAGCAAACTGGTATCTAATTGGCTCTGACAAGAATTTTTACACGCAGGTGTCTACCTCCTTAAGGGTGCGGTGACTAATATAAGCGACATGGTTTACGCAGTGTAGATGCTCGGCGTCAAAGGACCTATGGGTCAGGCTGAGGCCCACAGTGCCCACAGTGAACTTCATACAGCCACATATGGACATGAGTCATTACGACAGAGGACTCTGCTCCTCTCGTCTACTCAGCCGAGGTCAGACTGGCTCTAAATCAGGAGCTGTGAAGTTTGCGATAAAGCGCCACTTGAACACCACAAAAATGACCCTCAGTGCTTTACTAACACGAACTAAACACATCACAAAAACTGCATTACATCTCCAATGGTGATCTGGTATTTTCGTTTGGCATCTCTATTACTTCTCGTTTTCCACGGCTTGCGTTCAATCGTGAAAACCTGAATGATGTACATAAATGTAAATGATTCACCCACATGTAAGGAGATGTGTTAAACGATTCAGCTCGGTGTGTTCTGATTATCTCTGCTTAAGCTTTAAGCTGAAATACTTCCTGACTATTTTAATGAAACACTCCAAATGGAGCAGCTACTCTGAACTCCCTTTGGAAATGGGACAGAAATAAGGACAATGAAGCGATGCTACATCAGGCTGAGTGCCTATAAATTGCTTCGTTATGACATAATGACAGGATCACAATAAAATAAATACATATAACTTTTGCATTTTCATCTTAAAGCAGACTTCCTTATTATTTAAAGTTTTTTCTCCTCTTTAATCTGTACACAGATTTTGGCAGTGAGCACAAAAGACCCACCGAGCTGCTGATGTAATCTTCTGTTTTGCAGTGTAGCCAATGAGAACCAAGCTGGTTTAAAGGGAAGATGAACAGAGGTAGTGAATGAAACCGAGAGACTTCACATTGCTAGCTAAAGGGAAATAAGACACGTTTTAAACACTAAGTTTTGCAGACATACTTTAGTAGAGTTCATGGAACTGGACATGAGTATAATGGGTCTCCTTTAAGACATGAAACAACTAAAACACACACCTTAATCGCTAAATTAGCAAAGACAGACAGTGTGAATCAAGCACAATGCAGTACGTGCATGTATATGAATTTAGCCAAGCGATCACTAAGTGCTGACTCCACGTCAGACCCTCCTGCATAACTTTAGCACCACTGACCTGTGTCCAGTTATTTAGCACGAATGCATGGTATGCTTTTGTGAAACCAGAGATCAGCCATGAAACCAGCCACTAAGAGAAGCTCTAATGGCCACATGAAATGACACTTAATAACCACACATACATATATAGACTAAGAAAAAAAGAAAGCTGCTCTTATTTAATATAATTTGCTATGACGAG